GGTAGGGAGGTACCCATCCAGGACCCTGCCTGGAAGATCATGGGCCCTTAGAGTCTTGGGGTGACAGGGATTTGAGGGGTTAAGTCCAAATGCCTCTTCTGGGTCACATAAACCCCTCTTTAACACCTCGAAGGCTCAGCCAATGAGAGACCTCAGGGGAGAGGTAGGGACTCTGGCAAACCCTCCCAGGCCGACTTGCCAGTTGCCCTGACAGCAGCTGCAGAGCACATGGCAGGCACTCAACACACACGTAATAAATGTGGGGCCGATCATTTGCAGTCGCAAAAATAGCCACCTTTGGTACGAGATGACCGTTTACCAGGCTCAGGCTAAGAATTAGACCTATAGTTTCTTGTTTCAGTTCCTCCTCTCCCAAACCCTATGGGATAGGTGCGATTATTACCCTGGTTTTACAGCTAAGAAAGCAAAGACCAAGGAGGGTTTAGTAACTTGTCCGTCTGCCTGCCTCTGAAGCTCCGGACAACTGCATTAGTGGATCTCAGACCCTGCCCACAGTAGGGGGGCGTATTTATTTAACTGTTCCAACAGCCTTGGATTTCTAGCAACCCCCAGCACACAGTGGGTGCTTAATAAATACTTAATGAATTAATGAACTGATTCATTCATCAAACCTAGTCCACTGAGGTAGACATGTTAACCTAACAAACAACAAAATCTCTTTGGGCCCATAAGATTCCCCCAGCCCAGTGCCTGGCACACAGTAGGTGCTCAATAAATATTTACAGGATGAATGGCCCTCTGGCCCCTAATGTGAACAACTCTGCCCATAAATTTCAGCTCTAGGCACTTTGAAGTTCCCCCAGGGAACAGCTGCTTTTCTTGTTATCGAGGCCCCCCTGCCCCCATCCTTCCCCCCCCCCCCCCCCCCCCCCCCCCGCCCTCGTGGCCCCCTGGGCCCATCCAGGCCAGGGACCTGGGGCCGCCAGAGCCGGGAGATAAGGATGATGGATGGCCAGTCGCCTGGCTCCACTGAAGCCTGGGGTTTCCTGGGAGCAGGAGACAGTCTAGTGATTCCAAAGCCCCTCGGAATTCGAGTGGAGAGAGCTCGAGGAGGGGGCGGGGACAGGGGCAGCGTACGAAGTGTCCCTATCTCCTCAGAGATGCTGGACCCGACAGGAGGTTTCAGCACCCCCTGGCCACCTTGATCTCCTTCCATGTTGACAAGGCTTCCTTTCAGCATGTGCTGGACACCAGGACTCATCATTGGAGCTTCCAGTGGGAGTCTGGAGGATGGCCTCCCCCTCCATCCCACCCCACCCCTCCCCCCTGCATTGGGCCCAGGATCTGGAGGCAGGGCAGGCTGGCTTCCTGCTTTGTAATCTGGGCTCTACCGTTAATTGAGTCCTTGGCAAAATAAGAAATCATTTAACACGTTGTACACCTTAAATTCACATAACGTCATAGGTCAAATATATTCAATAAATTTTAAAAAAAAGGAAAGAGGTTTCCTCACTTGTAAAATAAATCTTGGGGGAGGCTTTCCCATCCAGCAATGCCAAGATGAGATTTTAAGTAGCTAAGGGAGAATCAGCTGGGACTGAACACAGTGGATGCTGCCTCAATGATGAAGCTGGCTTAGCCTTGGATCCCGGCAATATTCGTCATTGGTTTAATTTAAAATCTCTGATCCCCAAACCAAGACACTTACTAGGTTTGGGTAGATCGTAGAGCCTGAACACGTTAGATTTTGAAGGACTCTGTGAGACTGAAACTTGTAAGTTTCTTTTTGTCCTTCCCTCTCTCTGGACATATATCTATATCTATATATATATATATATATATATACACACACACACACACACACATATATATATATATTTAATTGCAAACAATATTTGAATGTCTTCCTTGTTTAAAAAATACAGATAAAGTGCCCGACACAAGGTACCCTCAATCCTGGACTACTCCCCTCTCTTTCCAGAAACAAAACCATCGTTTGGAGATGCACCCCGCAAAGCCTCCTCAGCACCTTTTAATGTATCTGTCCACCTACAGCCAGATATCCAGAAGGGGTTGGGTTTATATCAAGGGAATCAGCCTACCCAGGTCTTGGTACCACCTCTAGCACTCAGCCCTGTGGCCTGGAGACCCATCCATGCTGTGACATAAGGACACATCTGGTTACACCTTACTGGGGTTCAGCTCACGGTCGGGTGGCCCGGCCTTTCGGGGAAGCTCTAAGAGGGCAGAGGCTTGGTCTGTCTTGTTCAGCGGTGATTCCCAGTGTCTAAAACAGGGCCTGGCAGTTGTTACTCAATAACTATCCCACGAACGAAAGAAGGGATGAACACATGCATGACCTGTTGCATGTAAGACATTGCAGTTGCTTCCAACTTTTCACCGACACAGCGGGTGCTGTGATGAGCATCCCAGAACATGCTCCCCGTGTTCACTTTTGAGGGACAGTAACTTGTGGAGGCTCCCTGCAGCTTTGAAGAGCACAGTTTGAAATCCTCTGATTAGGCCCAAGCCTTTATTTCGTAGATGAGCACTGGGACCCCAGAGAGGGCCGACCGCTCGTCCCAAGGTCACCTAGCACGTCAGGAATTGAGGAGCGCCTTGGGGGTAGCTTGAATTCTTCTGCCGTCGTGTACTCTCTTAGTACCTACACTTTCTCTGACTCCCAACTCCAGCCTGTGCCCCTCAGGAGGGTGACTCTCAGGACAGAAGGTCTGATTCACTCTGCATAGAGAGGCGTCTGCCTCCAGAATCAGGAGGGTTTCATCCTGGGGTTCTCGTCCAACTATTGAAACGTTTTGGGGGCTTTTAAAATATTTATTTATTTATTTTGGCTGCTCCGGGTCTTAGTTGCGGCACGCGGGCGTCTTAGTTGCAGTATGTGGGATCTAGTTCCTGACCGAGGATTGAACGGAGGCCCCCTGCATTGGGAGGGCAGAGTCTTACCCACTGGACCACCAGGGAAGCCCCCCAGTATTGAACTGTTGAAGGATCTGGGTGAATCACATTTCCTCCCTGGGCCTCAGTTTCTCTAATCTATAACTCTGGCCTGATGATGCTTGGCTAACTCTTGTAGAGACGATGACAAGAAAGAGTTTGTGAAATTCACAAGGGGCATAGGAATCTAAGACAGGGCTAGTTCAGTTTACAATGTAGAATTTTTAAAAACAGTTTTCAGATTAAAAGATATAGCAGGTTTCTACTCTTATAAAAAAATGAAAAATTATATATATACATATATATGTATTTGAGTTAGTTTGTATAAATACAGAAAACTAACAGCAGTTACTCCGCAAATGTTAATTATCAATGGACTCCTCTGGAGTTCAGAATTGCCGAGGAAGTAAAGAGGCTATTAACATTTTCTTACTACACCCAGTTTTGTTGGTTTTCTAAAAGCTTGACAAAACAAAAGATACATTTACACATTAAGTATGTAACCTCAAAAACTCAAAAGAGAAAAGATAAATATTGCTAATAGGAAAAAAATTAAAGCAAAGGCTGCAAATAATTTTGTTTACAAAGGTAAAACTACAAATAGCTAAACAAGAAAAAGATCTTTTTCTTGATCAAATAGAGACAAATTAAAACAGCAGTGAAATTTCCTTTTTTGCCTATAAAATTGTAAAAAGTGATATGAAATAAAGACCAAAAGGTTTTCATTCCTGCCTAGGGAGAGGGTAATCATGATTAGGGATTAGCAGGAAGGTGGGGACATCCACGCCCCTCACAGCAATGACATGTCCGTCCTGTCCTGCTCCCCAAGCCATCCCGAGGACAGGGGAAGATGACAGGACAGGGTCACCGCTTCCTTCAGCTCCCCTCCTCCTCCAACTGTTGGCGTCTTCTGACCCACTGCCCCCACCAGGGACACTCCTCCCTCATCAGACCTAAATTCCCCTTCTTCTGATAAAAGAGTCCTGGATCCTGTGACAAAACCGGAAATGATTGGGAAGGTGCCTGGTGCACGCTGACTGTCCACTACTCCCAAAGGGATTGCTAGGTTCAGAATAGAGAACCCCGTTGTGGGATTGATGGTCATCTCTGTGAAGCCTCTCCTTCTAGGCAGAACTGCCCCAAAGGCTTTATTTTGGTGCGTTTTTTAAATGGGAATACACTGCTATACTAGGAAGAGCCATTAGCAGTCATCTGGTCCAGTAGCCCCATTTTATAAGGGGAAACTGAGACATAGGAGGGCTTATGAGAAACCCAAATCACCCAGCTGATTGGATGGAGCTATGTCTATAACCAAGGTCTCTTGACTCCTGATTCAGTACTCTTTCTGCTCAGATTGATATTTTTATTCGTTTACTGATTCTGTTCTTTAATTCCGGCATATCGAAATCTACTATCTCCCTGGCCATGGCTAAAAACCCCGCTTGTTTGCTTGGGGAAGGAAGTCGTCCTGAGATATTATACGTTCACGATGGAAATTATGTAATATTTAAAAGGAGAAAAGATGGGAATTCCCTGGCCGTCCAGTGGCTAGAACTCCACCCTTTCACTGCCGAGGGCCCGGGTTCAATACCTGGTCGGGGAACTAAGATTCTGCAAGCCGTGCAGAGCAGCCAAATAAATAAATAAATACTTTAAAGGAGAAAAGATACAGTTCTGACATTTATAATAAATAGCATTAATAATAAGCTGTAAACATCAATTGAGAAGTAATACAGGGCTTCCCTGGTGGTGCAGTGGTTGAGAGTCCGCCTGCCGATGCAGGGGACACAGGTTCGTGCCCCGGTCCGGGAGGATCCCGCATGCCGCAGAGCGGCTGGGCCCGAGAGCCATGGCCGCTGAGCCTGCGCATCCGGAGCCTGTGCTCCGCAACGGGAGGGGCCACAACAGTGAGAGGCCCGCGTACTGCAAAAAAAAAAAAAAAGTAATACAATTAAATCATTTTAAATAATAAAAATTTTTAAATAAAACAATTAAAATCCCCTGATTAAATCACAATATACAGATGCAAAACACAGGGCCTTGTTAATGTGTTTGACACATGCCTTTGTCTTTGTTTTACTCAGCCCATCCCCTTGACCAAGAAGATCTGCTTAGCGGGAGATGGAGGAAAGTTGCAAGGAGAGCCAGACGGTAATTCAGTCTCTATTTATCACAGAATTCATGTCAAATACTTACTGACCTGCCTGAAAATGTGTCTTGGTGTTAAGCAGATTCTCCTTTTAAATTTTCAAGAAAAAACTATTATATAAAATGGTGGTTAAGAGTAGGGCTAGGCAAAGTTTTCTGGTTAATAGCCAGATAGTAAATGTTTCAGACTTTGCAAGTCAGTGATTCCCCTTGCAATTGTATCGTGAAAGCAGCCACAGGCAACACGTAAACAAGTGAATGTGACTGTGTTCCAGTAAAACTTTATTTATAAAAACAGGAAGTAGGGAGGATTTGGCCCATGGGCCGTAGTTTACCAACTCCCGATTAAGAGTCAGGCTTGGGAGTCAGACTTTAATTGGCACCCCAACTCTGCTGCTTCTTCATTTGTGAGACCTTGAGCAACTGGCAAAATTATTTGAGCTTCATCTGTGGAATGAGGATTATAATTGTACCTGGTCACAGAGCAGGTACTCAGTGGAGCACCATTCAGCTCAAGCATTTGTAGGTGCTCAATAAATAGGACCTAAACAGGTAGGACACAGCCCACTGTTCTGGAAGAGACCTGGGTTCCCATTCTAAATCAATTGCCCCTACAAGCCATTTAACCTTGGCCAAGTATGTCACTTAACAGCTCCAAACTCTGTTTCCTCCCCCAGTAAAATGGGAAGAGAAACTCATTTATTGCCAGGACCTTTTTCTTTTAATTAATTAATTTATTTATTTTTGGCTGTGTTGGGTCTTTGTTGCTGTGTGTGGGCTTTCTCTAGTTGCGGCGAGCGGGGGCTCCTCTTTTTTGTGGTGCGCAGGCTTCTCATTGCGGTGGCTTCTCTTGTTGCGGAGCACGGGCTCTAGGTGCGTGGTTTTCAGTAGTTGTGGCACGCAGGCTCAGTAGCTGTGGCTCGCAGGCTCTAGAGCGCAGGCTCAGTAGTTGTGGTGCACGGGCTTGGTTGCTCTGCGGCATGTGGGATCTTCCTGGACCAGGGCTCAAGCCCATGTCCCCTGCAGTGGCAGGCAGATTCTTAACCCCTGCGCCATTTCCCTGGCAGGGAAGTCCCTGCCAGGACCTTTATATACATTCTTACTTAACTCTCACAACAGCCCTTGTGTTTGTCTCCATTTTACAGAGAGGAAACTGAGTCACAGAGAGGTGAAGCGTTTCTTAGTAGTAGAAACCAGATATTTAAACAGGGACTCTCTGATTTCAAGGGTTGAGGTATTTCTTTCCACTCAGCTGTGTTGCTTCACTAGAAAATGAGAAGAGGCATACGCTTCATAAAGCCGTCCAATCCATAAGGCCATGGACTCCTGCATCTCCCATCTGGCACCTGAATCTCCTCCCAGCATCCCTGCCTAGCCTCTGTTTCCACATCACCAGTACATGGGGGCTCATTACTGCCCTAGACAACCCACTTCCTCCTTGGTCAGCATTGACTGTGATAACATCCTGAACTGAATGGACCTGTACCCCGTCAGTTCCACTAAGAATCCAAATTCTCCCTGAGGACCCCCAATTTTTATCACCCTTCTACAGGATGCTCTCCCAGGGTCTGATGACAGCTCTATACCCCCAGACTCTACAGCCCAGTTCCTGCAATTACGCCTCCTCCCAGGGGACATGGCATGGAGGCCCCTGGCCTTCCTGCCACCCCACCCTGGGGTGTGGGGACACACTCCAGTGTGTCTCTACCCCTGGAAGACTGTGGCACCCAGAACTGCGTTCCTGCCCAGGGCGCTGAGCTGTCGCAAAAGTGAATCAGCTCGGGCCCATGATAACATCTGCACAGCCAGCCTGAGGGGCAGGTGCTTTTTGCATGGAAGGGGTGGGTTTGGGACACAGAAACCTATTCTGTCCTGTGGCGGGGAGTGGAGGAACATCAAGAAAAGAGGCTCCCCTTTCTGAGGACAAACTTTTGAGAAAGGAGGATCTCGGCCTGACTCTTACAGAAGCTGGGTCTTCAGGAACCCGCATGGACAGGTCGGGTAGGAAGGACTTACCAGGAAGGGGCAAGGCTGTTGTGGAAACAAGATTGTGTTTTTTAAGCCAAGAGGATGAAGAACGCTGATGATGCTAATGTAATCATTCAGAGGGTACTGATCTCCCTGACCGCTGGGAAGGACCCCTGGGCTGGAGCCAGGATCCCTAGATTCTATTCCCAACTCTGTTGCAAAACTGCTGTGCTGTTAGGCCCATCATATTTCCTCTCTGGGCCTCAGTTGACCCATCTGTGGGATGATGGGGGGGCTCCCTCAGCCTCTTGGAGAGACAGTATGATGTAGGGGTAAGAGCTTAGAGCTCTGGGGTCAGATGGACCTGTGTGAATGCAGCTGACTCTTCCTGGCTGTTTGACTGCAGGCAAGGTACTTAACGCCCTGAGCCTTGGTTTTCTCATCTATAAAATGGGATAATGATGAAGTGCTCCATGCACCTGGTCCCACTCAGTAAACGGGGGTTATGGTGGGGGTTGTCTCATCCTCCTCAGCATTCTGAGAGTCCACAAGTGGGAGTGGGAGCCATGAGGTGCACGTCAGGGTGGGGCTGTTGGCAAGACCCTGAACGACCCCCAGGTCCAGCTTTGAGGGGCACTGGTACTCTGGCCGCCTCTGCTGCCTGCGTGGTCCTCCTGCCAGGCCTTTGCCCTCTCTGATCTCTCCCCGGTCCAGATGCCTCTTCTGCTTCATCAGTTCAGTCCTGCTTACCCTCCAGGACTCTGTTTAAGAGCCATCTCCCTCCGGAAGTCTTCCCTGACCTCTTCCTCCCCTGACATCTTATGGATTCTCTTTGTGAAACCCATGCTTGGCAGCCTGAGATGTCGCATCATCTGGTGGGTAAAGCTGAGCTGCAGGCAGGGCCGACTTATCCACTAGGCACAGGACTGAGAGCTCACGATACATGTCAGGGTCCACAAAAACATTTTAATATCTTTTTAAATAAGAAGAAAAACATGAAAATACTAATAATGAACGTATAAAACAATGAATTCATCTTTATAGCAACACAGTGGTACCTTAGAATATTTTTTGATGGAGGAAATGGCTCATGAAGGCGGAAGTGCCCAAGGCCCACGGAAGTCCTAACGCAGCCCTGACTGCAGGGCTGTGTCTGTGCCTCCCTGTGCATCCAGGTTGAGCACAGAGCTCTGCCCAGAACGGCTAGACTGAGGGCAGGGACGGGGGTCTATCCTTCTCATCACCGTAACCCCGGTGCCTAGCACATAGGGGCTTGATAAAATGTGTATGGCAAAGGAATGTCAGTCAGAGGACACATGTATGTGTGTGTGTGTGTGTGTGTGTGTGTGTGTGTGTGTGTGTGTGCCTCTAACAGTCAGACAGGAGTCTTTCCTGCGTACCTTTGTTTCCATCTGCAGAATGTGACTAAGCAAATTCAAGGCCAGGCACTTAGAATCAGAGACTCATAGGAAGTGAGAGTCGGAAGGGACCATTTGTTCATTCCGTAGACATTTCCCAAGCACCAACCATGTGCAGTCTGTGTTTGGACCCTGGAGACCACCCCTGGGGGCTCTAATGGCCAGTCCTCAGAGGGACTTCCAGGGCCCTAAGAACCCCTGAAGGTGTAAGGAAAATTTGGAATCTGCACCTGTAAAATGTCCTTCCTAGAGAGACACTCTGACATCAGACTGCCAAAAGGCCAGTGTCTCCAAAATGCTAAGAACCGCTAGTTCAAGTCCATCACCCAACAGGCTTTTTTCAGAGTTGGGGAAATGAGGCCTAGGACAAGGAAAAATGACTTTTTCAAGGTCACACAACTAATCGAGGGCAGAGGTGGGCCCCTCCAAACATTGACATCTCCCCGAGAAGACCCCTTCATTTGTTGGCAGGGGTGGATGGAGAAGGGCCTGCCATCGAGCTGGTTCTGTGGGTCTCTGGATTCCAAGGAGCCTCTCTTCTGAACTCCCGCCCTCCAACACACACACTCACACTAACACACACACACACACACTCACACACACTCTCACACACACACACACACACACACACACTCACACTCCCAGGCATCTTTCACAACAACCCCCAGGTCCAACCATCGGAGGCCTGGTTTGGGGCCTGCCTCAAGTCAAAAGCAGATAACCTCTCCCAGGGATGTATAAACATCTAGTGGGCGTCCAGGGCAGAAGAATGTGGAAATGGATTCTTTTCCCTCTGAGCACCGAACATCTTCTGCCAAGATTCCTTCGAAGTTTCTGGGACCTCTCAGCTCTGGGCCTGAGGCCCTTTGTGTCCCCCAGATGTTTTCTCCCTGTCAGTGACTTCTGCAACCTCAACAAAGCAGCCTTCTCAAGCAGCCGGGATCCCACACTCCATCTGCACATGCCTTTGTCCCAGCCCCACACGTTCCATGGCTTGCAGCCCACAAGCCAGGGGTTGCCAGCTGTGGGCTGACCCTTCCTTCAGAAGGGTGTTAGTGGAGGAACCTATGGGAGATTTTATATGGAGACAGGTGGTTTGAATTTAAGCGGAGGGCACAGGGGACCTAATTAGAAAGCCTAGTTGTGGTAAATAGATATTTGTTTTATCTTACTTTTTTTTTTAATTTTTAATTTATTTATTTTTAATTTATTATTTTTGGCTGCATTGGGTCTTCGTTGCGGCGCGCGGGCTTTGTCTGGTTGCGGGGAGCGGGAGCTACTGTTTGTTGCAGTGCGTGGGCTTCTCATTGTGATGGCTTCTCTAGTTGCGGAGCACGGGCTCTAGGCACGTGGGCTTCAGTAGATGCAGCGCATGGGCTCAGTAGTTGTGGCTCACGGGCTCTAGAGAGCAGACTCAGTAGTTGTGGCACACGGGCTTAGTTGCTCCTCGGCATGTGGGATCTTCCCGGACCAGGGCTCGAACCCGTGTCCCCTGCATTGGCAGGCGGATTCCCAGCCACTGCACCACCAGGGAAGTCCCTTATCTTACCTTTTTAGAGAACTAAATCTTAGAAAAACAGAACTGAGCTTGAAATTAAGCAACACCCTTTCTCCCCTGAGCTACAATTTGTTTCCAAGTTAAAAAAACAAAACTCTCCACAAATTTGGTCAAAAGAATCAAGGAGAAATGCACTGAAGCTTTTGTCCAAACCTGGGGACCAGAAAATGTGACAGACGAGCCCCATGTAACT